CGACTCGTTCTGGTTCAATCCTGTGTGTTACGGTGTCGGCAACCTGGGCCTGCCCGCACATGCCGCGCCACACACCCACACACATGCGCCAGGCCACAGGCATAGATATGCATACATGCTGAATGCATTGTTTGCCTTTGGTGGGATGACCTGGAGTCTATATATAGTGTGTATTTGTGCGCTTGTCTATATGCCGACACAACGACGACGACGACAACAACAACAAAACGGCTCTCGTCTCTGCTATCCAGACCCAGGAAACGCAGACTACTCGCCTTGCCTACTACATAGACTCTCTCTCACGTGCGCCGCTTTTTGTGTGCGACCTCAGTCGAACTGCATGCGTGTATGTACTCTTGATTTCCTCCCACCATGGGTGCACTCATTTGTACAGTTGTTGTCTAAACGCCAGACAGAAAGAGCGTTTTGGATGCACGTGCATGTTCGCAAGGCATACAGAATAGGCTTGGCTTACTAAAGTAATAAGATGGAGCTTGTCTGTATCTATATTCCTCAGACTGTGTGGGGTGGGTTGATGGGGTTCATTGGAATGACCTTAACCATGTCAAGCTTTACCCATTTAGCCAACTTGGTTCGAACCAGACAATATTTGAATTCGTTAACGCGGTCGGATTTTGTGTCTGTGCCTGTGCGCGCGCGCGCGCCCGAGTGCGGAGTTTGTGCTTGCATGCATCACGTGATCGGCCTGGTGCATGCGACAGAGGGCAACGTAACTACATATTGTTTCAAGATAAACAAAATCAATATCAATACGGATCATCAGATTGTCTACTGATCGAGAGAAAAACTTTGTTCTAATTTTTGTCAAAATCCAGTGCGCTCTGTGAATCTAACATGAATCTAACATCAGCAATATTACTTTTTTTCCTCCGTCATGTTTCACACCAAGTCAATTGAAGTTCCCGAAATAGACTCATCTTTGTCCTAATTTCTAGCAAATCTCGGCTTGGACGATCAACCTCTGTCTATTTAAAAGTAATTTCAGCCGACTATAAACACTTTCCGTCTATTTTTTGTGTTTGACAGCTTCGGCGGGTTAAGCTGTAGATGATTTAAGCCTCATGGGGACCTAGATCCGCCAACCCGTTAACATAATTGAAAAAAGAAGCAGAGGAACTGCAAATAGCCAATGGAAACAGTAAATCCGTCTCCTTGAACGCGTTGAGAACCAAGCTAGCTTGTGTATGCTGCAGCTGGCAATTCAACCAATCAATTCTCATTTGGGGCATCGGACACCTAGATTCTTGCGTGGAATTCTTCAACTCTCCATCGGATCGACATGTTGAACAAAAAACGGGGTCAAGAGTTGAGGTCAGTGGCTGGATTTCCTGGTCCATGATGTCCAGTTTGTCCAGACTGACGGTTTGCGTTTCACACGAAGCGGATTCGTTCGTGTCCCGCAACCGTAGTATTCACACGGTTTAGTAGGGTGCAGGAATTTCTGTCAAATACAGGGAGCAAAAAGGATGTGAACGGAGGAGCTCGGAAGCATTCATTGTACAGCTACATTTATCTGGTTAGGTCGGCTCTGTCTAATTCGGACTGTTCTATTTAATCCAGCATAGTTTTACAGTTTCCTCATGAACGCGTCTTCAATGCGAATGGGAGACCGAGAGAAAAGGTTTGTCCTAAATGGCGTTATATTTTTGTAAAATAAATGAACGCGATTAAATTTATTCCTTCTTTCCTGAATTTTGGAATTGAATACATTCCTGATGCATATACGACTGACATTGTGTACAATAACTTGATAAGGTATCACTTTGTATCTATTCATTTGTTCCGTCCGGGTTGGTACAGTTGGTCTACGGTTGTCCAATTAGCCCCTATCGTGACTCATTTCCAAGTCGATTATTCGATCCTGTTTGTTACATGATGAGACCTAGATCAGATGGAAACAGTTGTACAGTGAGTGCTTCCTAGCCTTTCAGCTTATGCTTCATTTTCTCTGTACACGGCGAAATCAGCTATATCGTATCCTGTCCGTGCCAGTAAAATTGGCATAGACTGCGAAATAAGCGAGTTTTTGCAAATCCTCGTTCTCACTGTGTTTTACTCGCCACAGTGTGTAGACTACTGCAAGGCTCTGACCAGTCGAAACCCTTGTTATCGACTGTCCTGGTCGCGGATGGGAGACTGGTTACTGATTTAGATAAATATGAGTAATTGAACGGTGTTTCGCAGTATAGGCGTCCACATTCGATTAGGAAGGTGGGACGGTGTTTCGCCCATTAAGCGATCTTTCGACGGCTAAAACCATAAATGCACGTGGATACTACAACGAATGCGAATCTGCTCAACACCATCATCTCTCTGTCCAGTAGAAATAGGAAACACTTGGACATGTAGCGAGTTGTCAGAATTGAAAGTATAGTAGTACCGTGCATTCCACCGTATAGTATTTGCCCTTATTGCATGGATGAATGCATTAAGTGGGTTTATCCTCACGTCAAATTAGTGTATGTAAGTAGACGAGACAGATTCAGGTTGATTAGTGGAACCATTCGTCTATTCCTCTCGATGAACGTGTTCCTATACTCCCGTTAGTCTCCGGTGAGTTTTCAAACCGGAATACTCAGCCTCAAATACATTATTCCACTAGCTCGAAGAATACGATTGAAGAGCAAACCGATGCTCCTCCCTATGATTTCTGATACTCAGAATTCCTTGTTTAGATTTAATTTTACATGTGCGGTATATCTGATGGACAATGAGGGTAATGTCGGAATTGCACACCTTTTTCGTTTAGCACTAAAGCCTATACTAAAGATTCAAGTTCATGTAAATTATCTCTACTGACTTTCTTTCCGTTTCAGTGATAGTAATGTTCTCCCCAAAAGGTTACACACCGGCCCTCCAATACTGCTCCACTCTCATCGCGTAGTTTCACAGGCAGCTGCAGATCAATATGATCGTGATTTTATCCCCAATGTGTGTTTGATGCCCCCAATCGGATCGAAATATCGCAAATCCTCCTGCGGTTCGCACGGTCGTCGTCGCCGTTTATCTCTGGACTGCTCATGTGGACGGGGTGGACGCTATCGCCACTCGCGCAATCTGAGCAGCGGATCTCGATCCCGTTCGCGTTCGTGCAGTTACGGTTCTAGTAGCTCGCGGACAAGAAGCGCCAGTGCCAGTAGCACAACGAGTAGCTGTTACAGTCGGGGTCGTTGGTGCAAACGTTATTGTGATGGCGGATCAAATTCGCCATGTAGTCCGCGATCATCGCGATCATCCTCAAATGCATCTTCTGTGCACGTGGATGACCTTGGTTCGCCATGTTTTGCCAAGAAATCTCGATGTCGCTACTTGACTGAAAAGACCGCTTCTAACGAATCCACTGTCTCGGATGCTTCATCTTCCCGACAGACCTATCATCGACGATCGCGACATATACGGCGTGTTCGTCGAAGGTATCGTAGCGCTACCGCTACCCATCCCACTGCTCCAGTTCGACCAGCCCGTCGACGTGTACGTTCTGCCTCACCACAGTTTGCCGGTTTCTCAGATAGATCCTCAATCACAACCCGACATCAGAGACCGAAACGAATGTCGAAGACCAGCACATGTTCTACTGCGTCCTGTGTGAAATCCAATTGTTCTCCCTCGCAATCAGACCATTCGTGTTTGGACGTGCAACAACCCCAACCGAATCAGCATCAACATCGTCATCGCCATCAGTGCAATCAACGACAAAACCGGGCCTTGGCTGCGGCTAAAGCAGCACAAGGCGCGGCTAGTCGCATCAGCCCCGGTCTTTGGAGTCGACACTTTGGTGAGTGTAAACGGCCTCTCCAACTATTCACTTCTCGTGCTTTTTTCGCCTATACTAATGTTACTTTACTCTATGGGTGAAGCTAGCATTCCGGAAGTTTTCAACGCTGTACAGATCAACATGTTCGTTCCGTCCCGGTTGTGTTTATCTCATTAATCAAAATTCAAGCTACCTGGTTTCAAATAATTCATTGGCGACCCGGCTGATATCTTGAACATGTGATACTAGTTAATACCAATTAATCTATTCACTTAGTCTCCTAACGACCGACTGTGAAGCGACCCCCGGAATAAATCAATTTCCTTTCAACACAAACCAATAACAATTAGGGATTAATCGAAAGAACAATCTGACTGGACCGGATTGAAGGTCGGTCTGGTAACGTAGTATGTCAATTGACGAAACGATGGTAACAGATGTTCCATTCCAATCTCGTGTTACAGTTGTCACTAAATTTTTTTCGTAGCTCTTAGATCAGCGTACGATACCTCGAAAATTCACATATAATCGTAATCCTAGGCAAAAAAAGGGGAGAATAAAAATTTGAACTTAGTTTATTCCTGATTCTATTGTTTAATAATAATAATAATAATTAGTAAGATCGTTGTGGTCGTGATCCACTTATAACATTTCACAGCGTTCTTTGTGTATTGCAGCGTGAATCGGCTCTTGTTATCCAGTTTCAGTTTCAGTTTGTACAACCATGAACCATGCACTATCGTGCACCAGTCTTGGTGGCTGTCTTTTTGCTGCCCATTTGGATAAACATTGGGAGAAAGACACGAAATTTTGAAAGTAGGATCAAAAAGAAAATTTAGAATTTTAGTGGATTAATGTTGCCGAGAAATTGACAAGATGCACAAACGCCACTGTTTACGACCGTCGGTTACGGTCATCCTGAGGTCCGTTATCCGTACAAAATTATCAGTCCTCTTCCCACAAACGCAACCAATGGAAAAGGGATTACATGTACATTGTGCATTTGCACTTTTTTCTAATATCCCCAGCTAGTTCAGTGAATTGAGAAATCGAGAAATCAGTTGCTTCTAATAAAAAAGAAAACGTGGTTTACACACTTCCACGATCGATGAAGATCCTCGTCTTCAGTTTCAATCAATAATTACGCAGATTTATAGAAAACGCTTCTACTTCAGCTTTGAATTGAAATCTTACTTGCTCACGTATGCTTCTATACAATCCGGCCCGTTGCAGCTAACGTTAAAGGGAACACTGGGGGTACGTTGGAATTGCCCAACGCCAGACAACCAGCTGTGCTCAATCCGTTCGTTAAAAATACTCGAGGCCCAGTACAACATAATGTCAATAACGCACCGAATGCCACTCCGGTACTGGTTACCGGTCCGAGCACTAACAGTTTGCCTTCAGCAGTGTTGGCCTTGGAATCAATTTGGACAGATCTGGTGCGCCACATCAACGAGTACACAACGGCTGTGGAATCCCGTGCCGGAGTTCAAGAAGCTCGACAACGTTTGTTCGAACAATTCCTCAGCATGCAAACGTGTTACGCAACCCATATTGCCGCACTGATGAATGAAAATCAAAAACTAAATGAGGTCAGTTCATTGTCTGTCAGCGTCAATATTATGTGAAAAATTGTTTTTCCTATCCTGTCCTTAAAGTCGTTGCATTGATGATTTTCTATATTTATTTTACTATTCGAGAATAATAAATCTAACAAATGAGAAAATATACATATTACTTCGGAAGTAACTAAAGAAAGCACTGAGCTGGGGGCTTGGAGCAAAATGTAACAACATGAAAATGGACTTCGCTCATACAACCGAATACCGCTTGGAACCATAAGTCACATTGTGTAGTGTGGTTGCGTCTCCCCCCGGGGGGGGGGGCACTGATTTGTCAATATTCCCTAAGAATCATGGCCCCATTCTACNTTCCCTAAGAATCATGGCCCCATTCTACCCTTATGAATCTATGCGGTCACCACAGTGTTGGGAACTATTTTCTCCTCGAAACACGTCCTGAGGCAATATTGTCACATCAGTGCTGTGTGGCATTACTGTACACTTCTTGAAAGTTGCTCGTGGATATACTCACTATCCTATCCTGACTCGTTCCAACTCTCATCGGTGAAGTGAAACACACCAGTGGTGTCTTTACACTTCCAACGAACGGTGAACAAAATCTGATTATTTTCGTTGTTGTTGGTGGTCGTTTGGAGGTGATCTGAGCTTTAAAATATCCACACAGGCTCGCTTTCAACCGGTGGCCAGAATTTGTCACCTCAAAGCAGTATGGTGTTATTGAAACAGTAGGTGAACAATAGTCGGACCGAATACACTTTCGATGCAGTATGATACGATTTCATCGTATTTCACTGTTTCGTCCAAAAAAATTCCTGGTACGATTTCCATACGTGCCATGAATGAAGATAATCCTGTGTGCCTTTGGGAGACTGAACTAAATACGGCAGTTGTTGGAGAATATCTAGGGCTTGATTGAGCATTGGCCAGATCGTTGTATCCGGGACTAGAGTATCGAGCATCACTTTCGCTTTCCCAGTTCAGAATTCGTATTCTTGCATCACCGACCAGCTTTTGTGGTAGGATGCGTGGCTGTCACTCATTTCGTGTCTACCCGATTGTGTGTGGTTGGTCGTTCCAAGTCCGGTGGTTCAGAATGCCGTTTCTAATACCTGAACGCCCGATCTCCTATCACTACTCTCTCAATAGTGCGCGTTTAGCGAAAAAAAACAAGCTTTTGACTTGCTTAGTTTGCCAAGCGATGTTTTCCATTCACCGGTAAACAAAACCAGCTTTTCAGCAGCTGTTCGTGTCGATGACCTTGGAGCATTTGCCTCCGGCTGCATACCTCCGTTCGTTCGAAGTTCATTCAGCTGCTGGCGTGAAGCTTACGTCTAGCTGGTACCAATCTTCAAATCTCTCTCGCGTGAAAGCCACAACTAAACATTGCCATCAGGTTGTGTAGTTCCGATCCAGAGTGTTTCGTGTCTACCCACTGAACCGGTAGACACTTGCCGTTCCCATTGTGGTTTTGTTCCCCCCGAGAACTGTATTGTCTTTCTTAACTTGGCTGTGTTCGTTTTGTGGACGTCTTGTTATTATGGGTTGTTGTTGTTGTTTTTACTTACACAAAACAGGTTGCCTGCTTGTCTGTCTGTTGCATATGCGTGTCCGTATGATTGCCTGAGACTGCTAACCAATTGATCGGTCACGTTTAATTCAGTCACATCATCTTTGTTTCTCCCGGTCACATGTTACCGTGTAAGCGAAAACCCGTGTGCATAGTAGTCAATGTTCTCATGCATCGATTGTATCGGCCACATTGGGAATATTTCGTTCTCTGATCCATATGTTAGGTCGTGCGTCTCCATGCTTCCCTGTGTATGTATTAGTGGTTCCCCATGTGTCTGTATTCAATGGGCGGCGAATCTTGCAGCTACACTATCCTGTTTACTCTCATACCGTTACTATGAGAGTGAATGACCAAGGCTTTGTCCTGGAAGGTGTCAATGAATCGAATAACTATAACAGGGTAGACAAGAGATAAGGGATAACTGAAATCTGATTAAGATGCTCGATAATTCACCGATTTGGGTGCACTCACGTACTCGTTTCTATTTAGGCAATTCGAATTACGGACGTAAATTTTGATTACTTACCTCAGAACAGAATATGCGCCGCTCATTGTTACCTCCCTGTTTTCATGATACAGTGCTGATCGTAGCCACCGAAACCTATAAGACCTCATTTTTATCTGCCCATTTCTATCTGGTTTCATTAAAATGAACAATATTTTAGTCAGTACCATATCGCATCTCTAATCACAATAAATTTTATTGTTCTATGATCAATTTGTCGTGCAAAGGAAGCGTCGTGAGCTGAAATGCTAGGAACCACTGGACAGCTTTTTCTACCTGATTAAGTTTCATCAGTTGCCCGATTGTCAAGTGGGTAAATATGCTTGCGTTCTACCTGTGAGGTCCCGGGTTCGATCCTCAGTTGGGTCGGCAGACTCGCACTTCCTAGATTTTCAGCTCACGTTTTATCTACACGAGAAATTCATTAAGTGATCAAATCAAATCCTCCACAATCGTAAACTTTCACTTTTCCCTAATAGTTAGTCCTCTTTTCAAGACAACAGTTTGCCTGGTCGGTGTGTAGTTTTCAGTAATCAGAACTTTGGGAACAATTAAAAGTTGACCAGCATTTCTTGGCTAATTTTCGTATGTGCATATCAGTCAGCCTGCCTGAACGCGGAGATCAATACGAAAACCATCAGCCAGAATAGCAGGAGAGTCACGTGAAGGAACACTTTTGTCGAATTGCACTGCTCTGTACTACTGTATCTTGCTGAGCACAGAAAACTAATTTATTTTCACCGAGCATGTGCAAGTAGTGTGCCCGTGTTCCGGTACTTCTATCACTGTTTTAAGATTACACCTGTCGCTTCACGTCACATGGTTAGTCGCACGCCTGATACTCACGTTTAGAGTAACAATATTCTATCCCCTGGTAAGACTCGTTCGATCATTAATTAGCCTTTCTGTCCATCGGCATACAATAGATGTCATTTCGTTTCATTGTATGTTTATATCCCCGACAGAAACTTGCGAATATTGCCTCACAGAAAGGGCATTCTACTGCAGCGGAATCCCCTATGTCGCAAAAGGAGACCGCTCAGCATACTTCGCAGCCGTTGTCTCGAGTCTATACCAGTACTACTCGTGATGACCCAACCGGTACTACCGCTCCTTGCTGTAGTGGTAGGAGTAGCGGTGTCGATCCATCTGGTGCGAAGGGTTTCCAGCCTTCGCAACCAATCTATCCTCACCGAAGCCGCAAAGAAGTAAGTTGCCTCAGTGATGAGTTCAGTTTTTACAACCATTAACCATGTCTCAGTGATGAAAGTGGTCATGATTCCGTATCATGATTAGTGTTGTTGTTTGTAGTTCAAATTCAATTTTACTCTTAAAGGGCATTGTTAATCTCATATTGCGCACATTATATCATGGGGTAACTATGGCAACTGTGGGGTTTGAATTTGAGAATAATCTTGGGGGTTAAGAATGTGCTAGGAGATGGCTCTACCTCGTTTCTCGAAAGGTTTGTTTGGTCAACGAAACTAATCTGGGTCTGTTGATAATCCAAATGTGTTTCTCCCTCTGTTTATGCGTGTATTAATCTGTCTGTGTGCGTGTGTGTTTACATTTTACTATCAATTCAATCAGCGCATCCAGGCTGTTCACTTTGCGTCCTTGCGCACAAAGCCAACTGATCGTCTCTATCCGCGGCGATCCATCCGAATTCCGACTACAGTACGCACGTGCTCGTGCGGGTCGGAAACTGTTTGCCACCGTAGCGGAGTGTACGCATTTTCTTATGGGTTAGTGTTTGTGTGTGTGGGGATGCATCCGTACTTCACTTCGTCTGTCACTGGTGCGACGTTGGCTGGTTGGCTGGTTAGATGACTAACTGGCCGTTCGACTGGCTGGCTAGCCATCGGTACTTGACTGGTTGTACAGAGTGACCGATATGCCAGCATCTACATCCGACAGATTGCCTACCTATTACCTCTCGCTCTAACTCGCAATCGTGTTCGGTCGGTCTTTCTGGTCGTCTCTTCAATGCAGTCCCAGATGATGGACGCAGACGCGTGAATGTAGTCGTTTCCCGGCCCGCTGCCCCAGCCGAAGTCACCACCACCACCTGACCTAACTGATTAACTGGACCATTCATTTTTGTGTTCGGATTGTCCGAAGCCAGTACACACATGAAGTAAACGCGGTTGATGTTGGCTAGGCTACACTTGCTAATCGACCAGTCAACGAGCAACACTTGAAATTAGCTCCGTTTCATCCACTGTCTTCCTGCTCATCCGTCACTAACGCGGCGCGTCTGAAATGTCATAAATAACCTTTGGAGTCGGTTAAACCAATAATGAACTGATAAGTTGACAATACATACTATGATTGCGAACGGTCTGGTTCGGTGTTCCACACTTCTGTTGTTTGTATCACATTAGGAAGTGTTTCATGTGTTGACTTAAATTTAACGTTGTAGACTGCGAATTCCCATGTGACAAAACATTGCAATGACCACATTTAGTCCACGGTTTATACCCGACTTTGGTGTTGTCGTCTGGTTCAATACCACACCTAACCCATCGCGGCCTTATGTGGTTCGCCACTCCAAGTCCCATGGCTTAGGTTGCCGGTTTTCACCACTGAGTAGCAGGTCCTCGTGACTATGGTGTTCGCTCCGTCTACTGTTCACCACACTTAGGTGTGTAACAAAAAAGGGAAAGCTCTGCACGGATGGATAACTTTTATCAAGGTCACACTACCTTGTGTAACAATAAATGGATGACCTTGAATCCGTTATTATTATTATTTCATTAACAGAAAGCATAATGATGAGCATTTTCCTCCATATCGCTTTGATAGAGGAACAGTATTTTACGTCGCAGTTTAAGCATTACCTATCATATACATGCTCAACTGAGATGCCGATATGGCATTCTGTGTTGGAGCGCAACCAACAACTACTCTCGGTTTCATCGTGTTGATGATCAA